ATCTATTAGGATTCTGTGATAGTTGGTAAATCAGTAAATCTATAGAAATAACCAGTACGGTCAGCTTCTTCAATCGAGAGAACAAATGTTCGAAATTATATTACAGCTACTTGTGGCTGTTAGGGTCAGTAAGAGGGAGTGGAAGAAGTGGAAGAATTACCACCGAGAGAGGGTTTTTGGCTTGATTAATCTTGAAACTGTTTAAAGCTCTCAAAATCTATACTACACCTGAGTGTTGTATGCACACGGCACGTGTAAATTAATACTATTGTTTAAATCAAGACTGTAATATTCAACATAGAATAAAATATTCATGCAATTTAATTTCTGATCTTATGTTCGCCTATTCCATCATCATACATATTATTTATGGCAATTTGATATGATGCCTGCAGAGCAAAACATATACACACAAATCCGCAGTCACAGCTCAAGGTAATTATCCTTCGATTTCATCTGATACCACTTATAGAATCTCTTGTACCCCTTTGCAAACGAACTAAAAATACTTCACCAGCAGCTGCACCAATTATCCGCAAACATTTAAGGGAGGAACGAAAGAACCAACCATATCCTGAGATTCCTTATTCAATGACCTAAATCATGTTATAACTTGTAGGCAAGGTGGTTATTGCTATTCTTTTGGGACTCGATTTCCAAAATTTTTATCATCATTTCTTTTTGTTAGCTATACCATTGCACAATCTCCTCATACATTTTTATATGCAGTTTTATATTATTCCAAATTTTGTTTTTATATCTCTATACTGTATACGTTTTTAGTGGAATGGGTTCCCTTATTATATTTAAATCATCTATCACTAGTAGAAATATTGTGAAACTGGGTCATAGATCTGAAGCCTAGGAAGATGAAGATTTCAAGGCATAAGTATCGCCTGTCTTTAAATCCCCGAATATTACGCAAATGGGGACTGGAATCGGAGGCTCGAAGAGAGCCAAATTTCAAACCACCAAACATTGGTTTTCATACGTAGCAGGGAGCAACTAATAAGTGGAGTGGAGCAGGCCTAAATTACAGTCAGAAGCCAAGACCCAGAAGCCCTTCGTACGGCATCTGAAACCTGGGCTGAAGTTGATTAAGCTTCATTATATCCACTCTTGTCGACTCTGTAGGAAACGAGAGCACATAATGCTGTGAATAGGAAAATCGACGACATGAAGTGGGGTTGAAAGAAAGAGATACAACACTTGAAGTTAAGATCAAGACTTGGAGTGAGGAGTGATGCCACAACGGCTGAACAGAAAACTGGTCAGGGTGATTGCATTTGCATGTCACTTTGATAAGATGTAACTCTGTTCTAAGGAGAAAGCCTCTCCTTTACGATGCCGATGAATCGTCTGGGAATGTTTTAAGTCAACGGTCCGATGCTGGAAATCGTGATGAGGACACAGGGCAAGGCATGTTTTTACAAGGTCTCACTGTCGCTACGAGCAAGCTACAAAAAGTAGATAAAACTAACATAAGAGCTAAAAGAGACTGTGATCAAACAAAAGGCCTTACTAACTTGGTCTTCATCCCTAAGATATCGATGAAATAGGTTTTCAACGGCTTTTAAGCATTGTTTTTACTATGTTTTTATTATATAAACTCATATGGTTATTTATTTATAATGCCCAGCATTCTAAAAATAATTATTCCTGGCATCAATATCCTGTTCATCGAAAAACCATTAATCTCAGAGAATCTGGCGGGACAAGATAGTATATTAGATTTAATCTATGTAAATAAGTATATAAAATCTTGTTTAATGTCATACCAGAATTTTTTAAATAGGGATCACTAACATCCTAGGTAAATAAGTGTTTCATTTCCATTGCCAATTTAATTGTTAAGATTCTTCATTGCTTCTTACTCAAACTTTGGCTGCTTGAGGATGTATGGTCTTTTGCTTAGTTGTTATATTACTTTTTGAAACAAAATAAAATTAAAAAAATTCAATATTCAATCCTTTATTATGCTTCTAAGATAATTATGAATGCCTTAGACTACCATCTGATTAATGCGGTCTCTGTTGCATGAATGCTCATACATTTTACACTAAGCGTTCCTTTTTTCATACTGTACCATTAGCAGGGCAGACTATATTTAGGAATATGACTACTCCAAAGATAGGTTTGGGCTATTCACATCAACATCGGTAACTTTCATAGCAAAAAGAAAGGTATTCCTTTAACCACTAATTTTGTTGGATATTGCTATACAAATGGTAAGTCGGAGCAAGCCAAAAATGGCTAGCGACTACTCTTAATTTAAAAAATTATTATTATGCACAAATTACCACACTATCAATAAAGAAATGAAAAAAAAGTTCACTAACATAAATTTCCGATTTCGCATCATGCTATGAACTATTTTGCATAGGGTATAGTAAATAAAGCCTCAATATATATGAAAGATTACATATTTTAGAGTATATTTTGGATGGAAAATCAGAGGAACTATGACATGGATACAGACCAAAATACACAAATCAATCTAGAGTTCATAATAAATCGCTGGCTTAAGTCTATTCTTACGCTCTCAAACTTGGGCTTTTGCCATCGGGCTAACGTTGTTAGACTGTGCACTCATAAAACGGTTCTACCTTGACGATAGCATACTATGTCACCAAGACTGTTTCCTTTATTGTATACCTTTAAATTAGTAGGATTTGTAACCCCATAAAGGTTTTTATTATTTGAAAAAGCTTGAGAACTACATGACTTTTTAAATTTTTATTTTTGGTGGTTAACTCTGTTTACTTAATATTTTTATTCAATCAGTGGGAGTGCTGTATTGCTTTTACATTCTATTATTAGTGGAAAGGAAGATAATAATAAATTAGATTATATGAAATGGATGGGACTTGAACTAGATTAATTCGTATGTTCTCGAAAATAACAGATTAGTGACTGAGTTGTTGAAAAGTACACATTCGGAGTCCAGGGTAAAAAAAATATTATAATAATTTGAAGTTAAATTAAATTTCATATGGGAAACTATATTGTCATTATTAGAAGGATAACATTTTTTCAAAGTTTATTGTATTATTCTTTGATAGATGCAAATGAAAAACTTATAGTAATTCCTTACCATATTAATTATTTTCGAAATAAGTTATGCCTCTTATAGCATACCTTATCAATCAATACCTTAATAACTCATCTTATTGCAGCCCAATTTATATTCCTTGAATAATTCTCTAATTACTGTATAATGTAAATAACGAAAAATTCTTTTATTTTGAAAAGACAGCAAGAAGGCTTTTTTGATTTAGTAAGATGATTACAAATACACAATTACAGGACAATTTTCGATTCAAGCGTTCTTTATTTATCTTCCATTTAGTCGATTTCCAGCATCTTCCCAGGCCGGGATGTGTCTCCAATAATACGACTCCTATCTTTTGGAACCCTTTGCTTAATTTTGACTCATTAGCTTCGTATCCCCGCAGACCACTGGCCAACGCATCCTCAACAGATATACATAGCACGACCTTGCAGTAAGAGGATACACTACTAATTTATTTTACATTTTTATGTTTCATTTTCGCTTAAATATGACATTTTTTCTATCAGAGCCTTGGATTTTGCAGACTTTAATACTCCTTTGTCCTCAAACGGGGTCCATTTTGAAGAAGGTGGGCAGATAAAGACTGATTCCACTTTCAACTCCTCCTTGCTTACACCTGCCTCCAGCTCCTTAGTCAGCTCAGAAGGCTTTATGGCTCTAGAGGAGCCAAATGTCGGCCGCACAGAGTGGTTTACACCCTATGACATCCAGAGCAGGTAAATCTATCACTCAATACCCGTGAGCATATGAAAATCGTGTTTTCTACTTTGTAATTATAAATGAAATTATATCTTTTTTAATATATGACACCTTGATAAGGTATCATACCAAAAATATTTTTTTGAATATTATGCAAAATAGCTTTTCTCTTTTAGGATATTTATTCGCCATATTTCGTCTAAGTTGATAAGGGGACTAGTAGTTGAATTTTTCCGCAATCATATAAGTAGATCTTAAGTTTCAATTGAATTTCACTTGGCCTTGTTTTCCCAAAAGCTATTCTTATTTAAGCAGGATTGGACTGCAGTTTTGATCTCGTCCATGTCTCATCAGCACCCCTAGTGAGATTCTAACCATGACACTACGGCGTGTAATCTCGACATGTTAACCAGTAAGCTACATTGCAAAGAGTGCTTTGGGTCAAAAGGCAGTTTTAATTTTCAAGAAAGGCCAGACATTTTTCCATAGCGCATTCTCTGATGAGATTGTCCATTAAACAAAGCTGTATTTGCAATAGTCGTCGACAACCTTACTTTTTAAAAAAAGGTTTTTGAAACTGTCAGTTTATAATATATATGAAGTGTATTCACCCTATTTCCCTTAAGGTGTTAGGGGGATTGGTAGATAAATTTCCCCACATTATCCAGACATTAAGTTTCCATTAAATTTCACTTAGCATGTCGAGATTGCATGCTGTGCTGTCATGTTTCGAGTTTCGCTGAAGGTGCTAATATGAACAAGGCGAGGTCGGAACTTCAGTCTATCATGGATGTGAATAACTTTTGGGAAGCAAGGAAAAATGAAATGAAATGAAAATATAAGTTATACTCATATAATTATGGAAAAATTCAATTAGCAGCCCTCTTATTACTTTAAACAAAATAAGGTGAATACAACTCATATATATAATCTATTGCTAGTCCCGAAAACCTACCTATAAGACGGAAAATAGCCTTTATATTCCTTATTACATATTCATAGAACCTGGTACACATTCTAGAATATATAAATTCAATATTTTATAGATGTTGGTTGATATTGATTTTGCTACTTGGTCGTAATGTCAGAGATACCTAGGGGAATGTACTTTGCCTGAGTTAATAGTATCCATGATGATTTCCAGAGTCGGACCGTGGACTTCGCACATTTCCGTCTTAGCACAACATCTTGGTCTTCTTACTTTCAATCAAAATGTTAGCTCCCTACATCAAACGATTTTGGAAGAATGTTCTGTTAATAATTAACAGGAATGTATACTTTCACTGTATTTCTTATTGGATCCTAAGATGCCTAAATCTAACAATTATTTCAAATAATGTGGTTTTAACTAAAAGTAAAATCGGCGGACACAAACGCGATTCTACAAGCTGCGAATGTATAAAATATCTGCGGCTAAGAATCGGCAGTAAATACTTCTGTAATGAGGATTCTTGATTACGTAAGAGCATGGGGCGTAGCTTTCGTACGCTTCAGTGCAAAGAACAGGCATAAATACATCTTGAGTTAGGCTAATAAAGGCGGGAAGGGATGAAGCTAGTTAGTAAGAATCTTGATATAGCCACTAGTCAGCAGGTTAATTACCAATGCTTAGTCTCAATGGAGAACAAATTATATAATGGATGTGACTAAATTAAGACTGAGACATTAAGACAAAAACTATAGATCAGAAAGGAAAATAATTAACGAAGACGTTGTTTTTGCAACTTAGTCGTATTATTACGAAGACATAAAATAATTAATTTATATAGTTAAATAAGGTAGTAGATCCTTAATTCTTTTGCGTCTAGGTCAAGGGAAATGGATATTTAATATATATTAACATATTCACACAAGTTAATTGCATTTGTGTATTCTAGTGCTCATAAAAAAACGCAGATTCGGAGCGAGATGAGCTATTTTGGTCAGCAAGGACATTTAATTATTATTTAGGGAATTCGCAAGCTTGCTTTTTGGGGCTAGATATAAAACCTTACTTACATTGTGTTGGCCTCTATTAAATTGCTTGCCAAGATTTTACCGATTTCTAAATTATTAAAGGATTCTGATTTATATGAAATTTTGACTGATTTTTGTGATCATAAAAACCGATGTCGGAACTGCAGTCCACCCTGGATGGGAACAACATTTTGGAAAGCAAGGCAAT